AAATATTTATTTAGAGCTAATGTCTTTTTTAAACCAACCCTGAGATGCTTTTTCTTTAAATATGGGGGTACATTTTTAAAAAGGAGGAAATGTATAAATATTCAAACATGTTCAGGCATTGGGACTCATATAATTATAGGCACACTCAACTATAAAATGCAATCAGGTTATTAGCAAAAATGCAGATGTCTATTTAGAATATACATTAACCACACCTCATCAATAATGTATTATAAAGTCATTCTAGGTGTGTGTATTAGAATCATAGAACTAAAAGGGATCCTTGCAGTCATCTAGGCCAGGAGTGGGGAAAGATGCCCCTTTTATGACTTGTGGACTTCAACTCTCAGAATTCCTGAGCCAGTCATAAAGAGACCATCATTCTCCACCTCTAGTAGGCCATCCCCTCTTCAGTACAGGATCTCTAACAGGGTATCTAACATGTGACCATCCAGTCTCTGTATGAAGACCTCTACCAACAGAAAAATTGATATTTCATGTCTCAGATTATTTGGGAATAGAAGAAGATGATCAGTGGTGGGATTCAAATTTTTTTACTACTGGTTCTGTGGGCGTGGCTTGGTGGGTGTGGTGTGGCTTGATGGGCGTGGCTTGGTGGGCGTGGCTGGGGAATGATACTGCAAAATTCCCATTCCCTCCCCACTCCTGGGAGAAGGATACTATAAAATCTCCATTTCCACCCCACTCCTGGGTGAAGGATACTGTAAAATCCCCATTCCCTTCCACCCCACTAACCTGCTTTCCAGCTCCATTCTGTGCAGGGCAACAAAAGAAGACTTAGCTGATCAGCTGGGACTCGGAGGCAGAGAATATTTATTTATTTATTTTATTTTATTGCAATTTATATGCCGCCCTTCTCCCGAAGGACTCAGGGTGGCTTACAAGATAAAAATTCAACAATATGAATTAAATATAAATTAAAATCCAATTAAAATTAATTAAAATTATTACAATGTAAAAACCCCCCTCAATGGGTCAATCCATTTGATGAAAAAGCCATGGCTTCAGTTCGCGGCGGAAGGAGAGGAGGTCAGGGGCTGTCCTAAGCCCAGTAGGCAAACTGTTCCAGAGGGTTGGCGCTCCCACAGAGAATGCTCTCCCCCTGGGGGCCACCAGCTGACATTGTCTGACTGACAGCACCCTGCGGAGGCCCGCTCTGTGAGAGCGCACAGGATGATGGGAGGATGGCAGAAGATGGTCCTGCAAGTACCCCGGGCCTAAGCCATGTAGGGCTTTATAGGTGAGCACCAGCACTTTGAAACGAACCTGGAGGACCACCGGCAGCCAGTGCAGCTTGTGCAGGAGAGGTGTTACACGGGAGTAATGAGAGGCTCCCATAACAACCCGCGCAGCCGCATTCTGGACTAGCTGAAGCCTCCGGGTGCATCCCAAGGGCAGCCCCATGTAGAGGGCATTACAGTAATCCAACTGAGAAGTAACAAGGGCATGAGTGACCGTGGCGAGGGCATCCCGGTCTAGGAAAGGGCACAACTGGCGCACCAGGCGTACCTGTGTGAAAGCCCCCTGGTTATGGCTGTCAAGTGATCTTCTAAAGAGAGCCGTGAATCCAGAAGGACACCTAGATTGCGAATAGATGGGAATGGGGCCAGTCAGAGGTGGTATTTGCCAGTTCTCTGAACTACTCAAAATGGTTCTCCTGAACTGGTCAGAACCAGCTTAATACCACCTCTGAAGATGAAGGGGTTTTGCAAAAGCATGTTGTAATGAAAACTAAGTGCTTAGATTTATCTCTGGTGAGCCAGCCCATCTAGAATTTTTTTTATAAAGTCCCCAAAGCAAAAACATACCATTGGCCAATGTCTTACCATTTTTATAGTTCTGGGATGTTGAAATAATTTCAAATGAAATAAATGAAATAAGATTTTGTTTATGTATCAAACTTATTTTATTACTGAGTACTGGGAATTGTAAAGTTATGATTAACAGTACAAAATACTGTAAGTATCTATATTGTTCTTCTTCCCACTCTGTTCCCCTCTCTCATTTGTATGTTTCTTTGCTTACTTCAAGAAGCAAAATATACAACTGTGATTACTTTCTAACAGGAACATCATGTTTTCCTCCAGAGTAATACTTCGAAGGACATCTTTCAGAGAAGTATTTAAGTGGGAAAATTTTCCCCAGCAATGAGTCCTGAGCTGGAGCTCATGCTATCCTGCTCATAGATCCTTCCTTAAAAGGCCACATCATTTTTTCATTCAGGTAGAGCCCACCCCCCAAATACTTGGAGAACCATAAGTGGACTGTCTACCCATTTTATAGCAGGTGATGAGGTTGGACCTTGAGGCAGAGAGCACCAACATTCAAGAATAAAAGAAAAGCGCTGTGGTGGCACAGTGGTTAGAATGCAGTATTGCAGGCTAACTCTGCTCACAGCCAGGAGTTCGATCCTGATGGACTCAAGGTTGACTCAGCCTTCCAGCCTTCCGAGGTTGGTAAAGTGAGAACTTAGATTGTTGGGGACAAAATGTTGACTCTGTAAACAGCCCAGAGAGTTCAGTAGAGCACTATGGAGCAGTATATAAATTTAAGTGTTATTGCTATAAAAAGAGGTGAGAAAAGAAGTTTGCACAAATTTGGAAAGTGTACTCCTCCATTGTGGATGGATGGATGGATGGATGGATGGACAGCTGTGATAGACTGAAAAATGCATTCCCCCTCTTTCCCCCCACCCCAATATTTGGGAGAGAAGCCATTAAGTTTCTGAAAGATATCTGTTTATCCATGTTAAAAAAAAATCACAATTGTTCTAGAAGAAACTAGAATCTCTCTTCTTCCCTCCCTGCAACCTCTTAACTGATAAATAGAGCTCCGATAGCGGCCAAGTCGGTGGAGTTTGCTGATGGCCAGATTACTAAATGGCTGATGGTGCTGAAGTCTATAGTGTGCTGGAGAAGGAGCTCGCAGATTTGAGACTAGACCTTAATCAGTTTTCTAAACAACACAAAAGACATACATTTGGGAAGAGAACAATGTGAGACAGACAGTAGGAGAGTGGAATTGTTGGGAAACAGACAGAAAAAAAGCAGAGTTAGCTGAGAGATAAAGATGGGGTTTACAGTGACTCAACCACCTGAAATCTTCAAGAGAGAACACAAGGGATCTTAGACAGGGTGATCAAGAAGGCTAAGAAAAGATTGCATCAAGAGAGCATGAAAGTGAAAGCAGTTTAGAGAGAAGTTAAAAAAAAAATCTACAGCACTTAAAGGAGCAGATAAAGAAATAAAAGTGGAGGCTATATGTTATTTGGATTCTGTCTACCAAGGTAAGAGAAAACCTGCAAACTCTGTAAATAAATACAGGCCTATAGGAAACTAGGGGATAGATTGTTAAGTATAAAAGTGGCATTAAGACTTAAATACTATTTACGTATCTCTAAAGCAACCATTACAACTCTACAAGAGTGAAACCTATTACTGCTTGCCTCTTGTCCCTGGCTGAACCCAGAAAAATCCTGCCCTTTGTACTGCAGAGGGGAAACTAACAGACCCAGAAGGAAAAAGAGTTTCTAAAACAGCCTTCTCTCTAATATAGCAGCTTCTGTGTGTGGTGAATTTGCCACCACTTCAGTGCTGCTACTATTAAACATGATCCATGCCAGCATTTGTCATGGGGAATGTCACAATCAAGAAACAGGCTTTAAAGCAGTTCCTCATGTTGTGGTGACCCTCAACCATAAAATTATTCCTAAAACCATTGAAAATATGTGTTTTCTGATGGTCTTAGGCGACCCCTGTGAAAGGGTCATTCGACCCCCAAAGGGGTCGCGACCCACAGGTTGAGAACCACTGCTTTAAAGATTCATCTCTTGGTTGTGGGAACTCAGAAAAGGAACACTTTTTATCATAAAATCAGCTGTGAGTGCCTTCATGCTGAAACAAGGGGAATTTGTGTAGTTATTTAACTCATTATTCCCCAGGAAATTGTTTATTTGTTTATTTATTTATTTTTGTTTTGGTCTACTGATCATCAGTTTCTCTCACTACAGAAAAGATACTGGTTTGCTTTTATATCTCACACAGAAAAGCAGTTATGTGTGATTGGAAGCAGGCTATTATAGCTGAGACGATAGCATTGGACGGGTTCTTACCAGCAATGAAATGCTACCAGTTTGCATCGGTTCAGGCAAACTGGTAGTAATAAAAGCTACCAGTTCAGGTGAACTGGTCCTAAAAATGCAGCGCTCATTTGGTGCACACCGTGCATGCACACACGCAGCACGCATTTGGTGCACACCGTGCATGCATGGGCAACGAACTAGTGGCAACCTGCGGAGAATTTCACCACTGGTTCTTACCATTCAGTTTTTACTTCAATCTTTACTTTCTTTCTTGAGAGAAAGAAAGGCACGAGGAGAAAAAAAATAGGGAACAACCTGAAAGATATAATCTTATTCTAAGCCAGGGATGGGGTGAGAAGATGGCCAAAGCAATTCTCGGCCAATCCACCCAACTGCACTGGAGACCCAACCGAGGCTCGACAGCAATACTTTCATCAAATGGGCTAGGCTGGAAAGCAACTTATAATGTTAGTGTTTGGGGGATTGCCCCATTCAGATTTAAATACAGATTTTTCAGTCTCTATCCATTGATCAGCTGCAGGTCATCCTACTTGTTTCTCAACACTTTGACACCACAATTGAGCAGTGTGACTTCTGAGGACTCCGAAGTTCACATAATGGGAGTTGAGGTCTGCAAGTTTTACTTAGCCCTGCCCTGTGCTTTGAATCTTTATGTTCCCGAAAGCCAGTGCAGATAAGAAGAACAGTTTTTTGAGTTCCTTCAAGTGTTGCATAGTTACAAGAATGCTAAACTAGGGCCAGGCCTACTACTTAGGGAGAGTGCTGGGGAAGAGTCCAAATGGAACAGATACTCAAGGTAGCAGAGGGAATAGTGCTAGAGCCTAGAGCCGTGGGTTTAATCATGCTGATACCTGCTTGTCTTCCCATCCATCCTTAGACCTAACCCTGGGAGAAGACCTGGCAATTCCCCCAAAGAATTTCTATCTGGGACCATCTGATCTGATGGAAATGGAGGCTTCCTGTCTTCTGTGTCTTTCTGGAGACAGCCTGATCAAGAGGTAGTATTAGCCAGCAGCTTCTGCCTACGCAAATGTGCTCAATTATGCAGCACTAACAGCTTTGTCATTCTAACCCCTCCAAAGCTCAGTGAACTTTTTTCGTTTAATATTAACTGTGTGTTGGTTTGCAGCCTGATACACAATCTCTGTGGCCTCTCGGGACACAATGAGAACAACGAAAGGGGAGCTCTTCCTTCCTAAGTATTTGTGCAAATGGGAGAGGATTTAATGGTCGATTTTTAGCCTTTAACCAGATCAAAGGTTTAATGTGCTGAAGAGCTGGAAAAACACAAAGCCACTCCCTGAGAGCAAAGGCTATTTAATAAGCCATTTTGATTCTTCCAATGCCTTACAAAGCCAAATTCAGTACTAGCCATGCCATAGACCAAATCAAAAAAGCACACAAATCTTTTTATGTATATACTATTATGTATATATAATATGTTTACACACACACACACAAACATACAGAGGATATCGAGAGACAGGAACAGGAAGGAACACTGTATTACATAAGAATTCATTATTTTGTTGCATACCAACTTGTGTATTCAGTATGATGTCTTCCGAAGTTCTCAGTCTAATTTAGTCAGGGGTGAAATGCTCCTGGTTTGGACCAGTTCAGCTGAACCGGTAGCGATGGTGGCTGGTGGTTTGGAGAACTGGTAGTGATGGCAGCATGAGGCTCCACCCATCTGCCCGGTCGTCGTTACTTCCTGGTTTTAACCAGGAAGTAACCTGTTTTTTACCCTCTGCACATGCACAGAAGTGTTTGTGCATGCGCAGAGGGTCCAAGCGCTGTGTGTGCACTTCCGAACCAGTTGGGAAGGTAAGTAGATTTCATCCCTGAATTTACCTCTATCCCACCACCTACTACTAAGCATTTTGTTGCAGTTTTCCATTTCCCACTCTCCATGCTGTGTGGATATCTGAAATAGCATATATTTGGCAAAGGTCTTTTCCCAGTTAAGGACTTCCACGCTCAATATTTAATACTAAGTCACCTCAAGGGAGAAGCCTTTTAAAATCTCCGGGATAAGATGGTCAAGAAAAATGTATGTTTCAAAATGTTTGTTGGAGCGGTAAGGCCCTCTGGGAAGCTTCAGGATGAATGAAGCAAGCACGGTAGACGGATTGCCAGGACCATGAAGCATGATTATCCCGTGGCTCAAAATTTGAGATGTCCAACCAGGTGGTGCTTGAAATACCTGCCACCAGAGCTATATTCCAAAAGTTCATGGAACTGAGTCCATGGAAGCCATTGGAAAATGCTTGCTTTTTTTTTCTGGTCCCCTTGAGAAGCGTTGAGCCACCAGTCCAATTCATACATTAACTGAGGATTATGGAATGGTAGATAAGCAGTGCATCGCTGCACAGAAACAGAATTGAGCCAATCATTACTCTTTATAGGAAAGAGTGGTTTTATATGAATGAGCTTGAGCCAGGTAGGTCAGTTAATGGACAGCTGCATCAGCCTTACAGGAGAGGCTTAGCTGCTAGCTTGCTTGTATCACTGCATGTTTCAGTTTTAACTTCTAATCTCTGCCATCGCTTGGATCTCAGAACCAGCTAATCACTTTCCTTTTTTTATCCTGACTGTTACTGAAGTTGCCCTGGAATGAACGCCCAAGATATAGCAGCGAAGCCAGGCAAGGAACGGAAGATCCTCAGATGGCCTGTCTGCTCGAAGTTACTTTTGGCTACCTTTCAACACTGTGCTTTGGCTTCAGATAAATGTTGTTATCATGAAGTCCATTGCACTATGCTACACTCTGAAAAATCAAAACAGCCAAATTGATTCAAGGAGCATTTGTTTCGGATCCAAAGTTCAAATGCGTGGTTTGAACTAACCTAAAAAAAAAAAAAAAAAAACAACACCCAGCCATTGGGGGATTCTAGTAGAATTGAATTTTCTGATTGATGCTGCTGACTGTGAAGTCTGCAAATAATGGCATAAAATTGGCCACCTAAACTACTCAGGTAGTTTAAAGAATAAAGTGACAGGCTAAGAACCAAGCTAAGAGAGCGATGCTTCCTGTTCTGTTGCTATCTGCATGTAAACCTTGGGATGAGCTGTGTCCCTCTTATTATAGGTCTCTGATTTCCTGACATGATTTAAGACTAAAATGTAGGGTTTCTAAAATGTAGGGTTTGGGGATGTGGGTCATCAGTGCCAGTGCGGTGGGGCCCTGGGGCATTATAACCCTTATGGGCCATCGATAGAGTCTTCCCCTGTCTTCTCTCTTTGGATCCAATCTGCCCCACGATCAGAGGTGGTATTCAGTCGGTTCGGATCAGTTCGGCCAAACCGGTAGCAGAAATCGCAGGTGGGCCTGCCTCCCCCCTCCCACGCCCCAGCTCTATGCCATCCTATTTAGCCACATTTTTCATGCTGGGCGCATGTGCGAAAGTTGCAAGTGCGAGCAAAATGCATGTGCGGAAGGCCGGGTGAATGTGTGGAAGGCAGGCGTGTGCCAGAGGTGGGTTTCAGCAGGTTCTGACCAGTAGCTGAAGTGGAAATTTTGAGTAGTTCAGAGAACCGGTAGTAAAAATTCTGACTGGCCCCGCCCCCATCTATTCTCTGCCTCCCAAGTCCCAGATGCTAAGGGAGGAAATGGGGATTTTGCAGTATTCTTCCCCTGGATTGGGGAGGGAATGGAGATTTTACAGTATCCTTCCCCTGCCACGCCCACCAAGCCATGCCCACAGAACCGGTAGTAAAAAAATTTGAAACCCACCACTGGCATGCACGTGCATGAAGCGAGCGTGTGCACACATGGTGAACCGGTAGTAACATAATGTGAAACCCACCACTGCCCACAATCATCTATTTTATCTATTCATAGGTGCTTAGAAAAGACAGATGAAGAAAGAAGTGAGGGAGGAAGAGGTTATGGTCATGAGCTTCCCAATGGAATATGGACCTCAGCAAGTATTTTGTTCTAGAAAATTCTGATCCTGTTTCTTGAGATCATCTTTTGAAGACCATTTCCAGGCCTACTTTGGCTTGGCTGAAGATTAGAAAAAGATTTAGGGAACGTTCCTGTCTTTTTGGTACCAGGTGAAAAAAAATCATACTTTTTCAGGCTGTTGTATTGTTATTTTAACATGTGAGTTTTATATCTTGAGTTTTGTATTTTACCCTTGCTCACCTCTGAAATATTCTAATGAACAAAATGAAGGCATGCAACATCAACTGAGCTGCCACAAATTAAAAATCACCTATGGGTGACTCTTCCTTGAGAAATTTGCCTCCGGTCTCTAATTTTATACGCTAATACTAATTCCAACTATGGAAGAAATTGTCACATAAGCATATCTAGAGCAGGCATGTTTAACCCCCAGCCCATGGGCCACATACTGTCCTGGAGAGCTAATTATGTGGTGCTACAAGATAATAAAAATTATTAAAAAATAAAGGAAGTTTGTTATTTATATACACTAACTTTATATGCTTTAAGGTCCCCACACATCTTAAAGTTGCCAAGGTTGAGAAACACTGATCTGGAGCATTGCTGCTAACCACCCTCTCAGGGAACTCTTGAAGACTTTTGAATGCAGGAGATGATTGAACTGCCGCTAATCACCATTGTGTTAGCTATCATGTTAAAATGGCCACCTCATTTTTTAGGATTTTTATTTCTCATTTGGTTACTCTCCCTGGGAATCCTGCACATGGAGTTTAATCTCTTAAAGTTCGAGAAGGCGATTAAATGCTTCTTTCTGCAGAATTATTATGAAGGCAAAAGGAATATATCTTTATTTGATATAGATATATATTATGATTCACTCATATTAGGAAATGCCTTATAATGGTTATTATATGGTTTTATTGCTAGTATTAGTTTACAATATGTTCCTTTTTATTGCTTTGCCTGTAGTGCATTTATGTATCAGATGACACTAAATAAAAATTACGATTACGATTACGATTACTACAGTTAACAGTAAATAGCTGAGGAGAATGGGCAGCCTCTCAGGTTGTCCTCTGATCAAACTGGGTTCTCCTAAGATTGAAGAAGGAAGTGATAAGAATAAAAGATAATTTTGATTATGAATTCTAATAGAAGCTTGTGATAATTTCCTGATCAAAGTACTGTTGTTCCCTGTTCTCAGCTCCATGTAGCCTAACAGATTAAAATATCTGGGGTGATGAAAATTATTGTCCTGGGATCAACTGTGTATGAAGTGCTCCTCATAATCCTTTTCCAGCAGGAGGAAAGGTTTTGAAAATAGCAATAGCAATAGCACTTAGATTTATATATCACTTCCAAGTGCTTTTACAGCCCTCTCTAAGTGGTTTACAGAGTCAGCATATTGCCCCCAACAATCTGGGTCCTCATTTTACCCACCTCAGAAGGATGGAAGGCTGAGTCAACCTTGAACCGGTGAGATTTGAACTGCCGAACTGCAGTCAGCTGAAGTAGCCTGCAGTACTGCACTCTAACCACTTCGCCACCTAGGCTCTTAGCAAAATGTTGGTAAGACGTGAGTCTGGATAGGATATGTACCCACATAGACATGTGCAGCGCTTCCATCTACCTCTTCAAAATAAATGGCGCCCCATAGGGATAAAAAGACTTCTCCTGGACAAGGTCCCACCCTATCCATATCTCTAAACAGAAGCTCTGAAGTACATGGCATTGGCCTCCTGCACATTGTACCCGCTACATGGAGTTCTAAGCCAAAGAGGGGCATTATATATGCAGGAAACTGGTGCTGCATTCTGGATGGTTGAGTGTCTGGGCGTGGCTGGCTGTCTCCTTCTCTCTCATACAAATACACACATGTACAGATAGACACACATATTCTACTATTGCCAATGTGATTTTCTGGATCACTGTGGAACCAAAGGTTGAACAAGTTCAATACATGGACTATTGCAAAAGGTAGGGAACATGTAGTTTTTCTTCTTAAAACACTTTTCCATACTGAAGTCTGATCTCTATTTCTATTTGGCAATGCAACTAGGTAGTTTTAGGCCGCCTACGGTTTGTTTTGTTTTGTTTTGTTTTGGTTTGGTTTGGTTTGGTTTGGTTTGGTTTGGTTTGGTTTGGTTTGGTTCGTATAATCACCCATCTCACACGGTAGCTTTCTTCAATGGTGAAGTGCCTAGCAAACCTTTCTCTCCTCTCTCACAGTCCCTTCTATATGCTTCTGTATTCCAGAGGCATTACAGAAAACAAAAAATATTTGCCAGTCCTAATGAAGTCCCAATAATTGAAAACTATTCTGAGCATGTGCTGTTTTGTCTTTTAAAACTCTCATAAATCACAGAACCATCTAGATTGCAGGAATAAAAAAAGAGTTTGCTTCCACAGCCTTGCGGCTAAACATGCTTACTTTTGTTGTAAAAAAAGATCTCCTACTTTGAAAGCAAAGCTAATAACATGAGCAAGCTGGGACTGTGGGAATTGAGGCCAATCTATCTGAAAGGCACCACTTGGGGAAGGCTGATTTGTCAAATATGCCTGGGAACTCCAGGCTGCATCAGACAAGAAATAGTAATGATGTATAATTTTGTTGGGGAAACTATTTGTAAGGTGAAGATATAAATCTCTTTAAAAAAAACAAAACAAAACACTAAATATGCATATATTGGATCAGAGCCAGACAAAAAGGTACACGTAAAAATGAAATGATAAGAGGAAAAGAAATAAGCTATGAACTTGAAAAAGAATTGTAATCACAAATAAGAACTTCCCTTGCCTTTTGTGAATTGGATATGCTGTCTGCATCCAGCTTAATGGATGTGAACATCAAACTTCCTTTAAGAAGCTGAGTACTGGGTCTTTCCAAAGAGGGGTTCTAGGCATTCTGTTGGCTCTTTTAACCTAATTGCAAGAAACTTCAAATTTTGAATTAAATAGCTTGAAAAAGAACCCATTTTCCCACTTGCATGCTTCCTTGAAAAGTTCAGAGATTTTGGAGTCCAAGAGACAAATTGCACCATGGGGAATTAGTCTTTATTAAAAGCAAAGGACTTCAGAAAGAGTCACATGCAGCTTGTATCCACTATGTCTAAAAACTGAATGTTTCTTGTTACAACCATATTTTAAGAAAATCAGTGTTGTTGTTTTAATTAGTTGCCATGATATTTTTAACATTAACTCTACTTGCATCTCATCCATTCAATATTCTTCGCACATTCAATATATGGAAATACATTGCTTAAAGAAAGACCCTGCCACACAGTTGTGTCGTGATGTACTACTTGACCCTCGAGCTCACTTATAAAGGCATTAGGGGAAAAATCCCAGCTGTTGATCTAACTGTTCCTCTGTAGCTCTAAGAAAACATCTGCTGAAAGAATATTCCTATGTGACATCACCAAGGTCAGGATTTCCGCTCAAGCAGCAACTAGTGAACAGGGATGGCAAGACTGAAGGGGCGACGTCAGATAAAAATGGTTTCTTTTTTTCACTGTTATTGTGTAATGGTATAATAAGTCTTAGGTTTACAAGTAGTCCTGGACATATGTTCACAACTGGAATCAGAATCTCCATTGCTCAGCAAACAAGGAGGCAGTTAATGAGTCACGGCCAATTTTACAAACTTTTGGCCATGGTTGTTGAGCAAGTCACTGCAATTAAGTGAGTCATGCACTCATTAAATGAATCCAGCTTTGCCCAATTGCTTTGCTTGTCGGACGCCAACTGGGAAGGTCCCAAATAGTTATCACATGACCCCAGGATGAGACAACCAATATATAAGATTGGTTATACAATACAACATAAACACATGCACAGATGCCAAGTGCCTAAATTTTGATTACATGACACCATGAAGATGCTACAATGCTTGTAAGTGCGAGGTCTGGTTGTGAGTCAATTTTTTCAGTGCCATTGTAACTTTGAGCTGTCACTAAACAAATGTTTGTAAGTTAGGGACTCCATGCATAGGGTCAGATATTTATATAAGACAGACAACTAACTACAGTGTTTCCCCAAAAATAAGACCCACCCTGAAAACAAGCCTTCGCCTGATTTTTTGGGGGAGCCTAATATAATCCGTACCCCAAAAATAAGCCCGGGGGATGGATGTGGCCCACTGGCCCCTTGGCGCAGTGCAGATATCCGTAAGTCTGAGCGCGGAGGCAGAGGTGAGGAGGAGACAGGCTCCACCGTGCACTTTTTACCCAGAGAGAGATGAAGCTTCGTCTGCTTGCAAGTGGGACACTCTATTTCAAAGTGTCCCATTTGCAAGCAGATAAAGCTTTGACTTTCCCTCATTTTTCCATCTGGGTGAAAAGTATTTGGGCGCCCATGGGTCGCTTGGGAATGGAGTGTTTTGCCTGGCCTCCTGCTCCGGTGCCACACTGGTGCTGGAAGAAGTGAGCCGGCAGCCACATGGGCTCCTGTTGGACATGGCTGCTGCCGCTGCCAGGCAATTGTCGGGGCGTGGAGCCATGAGACCCTGAGGTAAGCCAGTGTGTGTGTCAGGCAGCTCCACCAGCATCCCACCTCATGGAGGTGGCACTCAAAAAAATTAAAACACCCCCAAAAATAAGCCCCAGTGCTTATTTTGGGAGCCAAAAGAAAATAAGACTGGGTTTTATTTTCGGGTGAACACGGTAGATTGGCTTCCCCTGATTCAGTAATCTTTATCTTTATCTTTATCTTTATTTGATTTATATACCGCCCTACTCCCGAAGGACTCAGGGCGGTGAACAGCCAAAACAGTAAAAATACATAAATACAAAATTTAAAAACAGACTAAAATTGAATTAGACAATTTGGCCCAGACAAATTAAAACACCCCAATCATTTAAAAACTGATTAAAATTTACATAATTAAAAAAAAGGGAAAAGATTAGGCCAGGCCCGCCTGATGGAATAAAAAGCTCTTGAGAGCATAATCTTAGGCATTTGTGATAATAACAAAATGATGAAATGTGCAACATTACACAAGCCCTCCCCCCTTTCATACCTGCACTGCAATATTGCACACAGGCATGTAAGGGGAAAAGTTGCAACCCTGCAGCACACATATTGTCACTTGTCCATCTCTCCCCCCCCCACCTATCCTCCTGGTGATACTACTGCTTTAGACAGAAATGATATCTGGTGGTTTCATATCATCTATTAACCCAAAAGATAATGTAGTTCACTTGGATTTGGCCTTGCAAAATGTATGAACCAAGGGCTGATGCTTTCCACAGCATGATTTAGGATTTGACATAATGTATGAGCCCAGCTGTTTGTCCCTCAACTATGATTTATTTACAGTAATCATGATGTGTGACCCCAAACAGTACAGGTAGTACTCA